GGGGGAGGAAGCTTTCTGGCCTCCCAGGGTATTGCGTGGGAGCTGCTGCTTGCCCTCTATAACATTGAGGGCATCCCCTTGTCAGGGTTCCCCTTTGAATTCGGTTTTTGCCTGCTGCTCTTGCACCTCCAAGGTGCCCTGGCTCTCTTTAGCTCCATTGCTCAGTGCAAGCTTGGAGTGGGAATGAGCTCTGCTCTTCCCTTAGCTTCATCTCCCTGGGCGCTCTGCACAGCAGCTTGTGCTTGGAAGGGTTCCAGCCTTGCTGCCCCACCAGCAGTTGCCACTCTTCAGCTCTCCCTGTGTGCAACACCAGTGCCAGGCAGGCACGAGAGCACTTTCATGCATCCCTGGCCAGGAATCACAGCAAATGAGCGAGCGTTGGGAGTCAATTGTGTGCTTATCACCAATAGGTGTCATGCTTTGGGAAATACCCCATGCTACCATGTGCCTTCTTCTTCTACTTCTTCTTGCATATTTGTGTGTGGTCAGTGACAATGCTCTTAAATAATAACATCAAACTTTCATGTTGGATATAAGGAAGAAGTGTCAGGGTGCTGAGCACTGGAACAGGTTGCCTAAAGAAGCTGTGTGTGCTCCTTCCTATGGCGATGTACAACACCACCATGTTGTACAGACCCTTAGGTGACATCGCCTGGCACGGTATGAGACCAGGCTGTACCAAGCCTTGGGTGACATGTTTCTCGTGTGAGGTGTCCCTGAAAATGGCAGGGTGGTTGGAACAAGGTGCTCTTGAGGTCCTCTCCAAACCTAACTATTCTATGATTCTAGAATGTAATGATTCTAAAAGAACATAAACTATAAGGAACCAAACAAAATCAAATGGAATAATAAAATAAAAACTTGTTGCCACATGAAAGCTTTGTGATTTGTGTTCTTGAAAGCGTTTTTGGAGCTGAAAATCCCTGACATTGCAGAGAAATCAGTGTCACTGTTATTCAGCTCAGGGTGAGAGTAAGGAATAGAGTGGAATGGAACGGAATGGAACAGAATTAAATGAACTACACTATGCTAGAATTGGTACAGGTTATGTTATGCCTACAATTATGCATGACAAGTGATGCCCTAGGTCTAGGGCATCCACCCAGGAGAGCAGCTCTCTGCAGTGCAGGTCCCAGAGCCATTCAGGAGACAGGGAAAGGCACAGCTACAACATGGCTCAGGCATGGACTGAAGGCCACAGTCTGAGCTGAGACACATCTTATGGGCCCTTGGCAGGAAGTGGTGGGTCCCAGCCGCTGAGGCCTTAGAACACCCCCAGAACCCTGGCAGAAGTAGACCTGCTCTGCTCATAGGCTCTCCTTTAGACACTGATAGTCAGCCACTTTGGGGACAAGAGTTTTGGGCCTGATGGATCTTCTCTCTGACAGAGAACTGTTGTTCTCAGGCTCTCGTGTTTCAGTATGTTTTCCCAAGGGAAACAGCTCAGACATTTCTAGAAATGAGCACGAGGAAATAAAACCAGGTTCATAGGGAACTGAACAGGTATTGCTCACTTCAAAAAGATTTGGACCCATTTGGTTGAGGACCATGTCCTGCTTCAGACTGAGGCTTCGAGCCTTGCTAGTGTCAGAGATGTGGAAACCCAGCTCAACTGGATGAACGCAGAAGACTTCCAAAGAACACATTCCACACCTGCTTTTTTGCAAATCAGATCACATGGTCAAACCATCTCGAGACAATCCACAGCTCTTACCCCATTGGAAGGTACACACCTCCTTCCCAGAGGGTGATAGAGTGAATGCCTCAGCTGGGACATGGTTATGGGTATTCAGTACCTAGTGCAAGTGCAAGGCATACCTCCTGTATGAAGATAGGCTGAGGAAGTTGGGGCTGTTCAGCCTGGAGAAGAGAAGGCTGCGTGGAGACCTCATAGCAGCCTTCCAGGATCTGAAGGGGGCCTATAAGAATGCTGAGGAGGGACTCTTCATTAGGGGCTGTAGTGATAGGACAAGGGGTAATGGGTTAAAACTTAAACAGGGGAAGTTTAGATTGAATACAAGGAGGAAGTTCTTTACTGTAAGGGTAGTGAAGCACTGGAATGGGTTGGCCAGAGAAGTTGTGAATGCTCCATCCCTGGTGGTGTCCAAGGCCAGGTTGGACAGAGCCTTGAATCGCATGGTTTAGTGTGAGGTGTCCCTGCTCATGTCAGGGGGGTTGGAACTAGATGATCTTAAGGTCCTTTCCAACCCTAACTATTCTATGATTCTATTCTAAGTGTACAAACACGTTTATACATAGACATTATCCCACTATAGTAAAAGTTTTGATGCAACATTTGGTGCCCAGGATATAATCCTGGAAGAGGTTCTGCCACTCTCTCACAGGATTGCATGTCTATTTAATTTTTCTAATGACTTATGGCTAGAGACCACTTAAAGGAAATACAGTTCTATCTTTATACACCAGCAAAATAAATAATAGTGCTATCTGCTATTTCAGCATCTTAAAGTTATTTTAGCGCTTCTGAAATGTTACAGAATGAGAGCAAAAATATAGAAGCTGCATTTCTCTATTCACAATGTACTCCTAAGAAGTCAATACACTCTCAGCTTCTCTAAACCATTTCAACACTTCAACACTTTTACTGTTGCACAGCAAAAAAAAGGAGCCTGTGAATGGAGTGTATGTACCCACTTTATCTCTCTCTGTATGCTTCCTCCCAGTATTGCCAGTAGGGTATAGATAATTCTGCTTCTGTCCAAGTTATTTAAGCAGAGAACAGCCTTCACTCTTGGCACATTACTCAATTGCAGTGTTTTCATAACCTCATTAGCTGTCATGCTTCTCAAAAGTGAAAAATGTTATATAAATAAGACAACAGAGTGCTGGATTGCAGCAGAACTTTGTCAGTATATATTGTTAAGCAATCATTCATCACTAAGCAATGACATTCCTGCTGCAAGAATTTTTTGCTTTAGTTTATTTTAAGGGTACGCAGAGAAAATGAGAGGAGACAAACACCTGAAATTATCAGCACTGATCTCCCCTGAGGATGGGACAATGACTGGTTAACAGAGTCATGCTATACAATGAAAGCAACTACTCTAAGCTCATGAGGGTGATGATTCTGAAAAGTTTAAAAGAATTTTACATAACTTAACCCTGGAATGCAAGAACAACTTTTTCTCATGTACCGTGTGGAAAGCAAGAAGTATTTGTTGCTTGTTTCTACACATAGAGTGGCTTTGCTAATAATAATGTGGCACCATTTCCACATACAGGTTTTGAATAAACAACATGGGCAGCCAAAGCATGCTTGCTGAACTAGTTTGTGTAAAATGTCAATACATTAATGTCCATATCTAAAACCAACTTTGATACTAGTTTTTTTGTTGCACAAGGAAGCAGCAATAAATTAACACGTCTTGGTCTCAGGAAAAAAAAAACACAATAGCAACAAAAACAAAAAAAGAAAAAAAAGACAAAAGAACCTCCAACAAACAACAAGAAAAACAAATGAACAACCTCACCCTCCCTCCAAAAAAAAAAACCAAAACAAACAAAAAAACAAAAAAAATACAAACACCACAAAAAAAATAAAAACCCAGACAGGATTTGGGCTTAAGAACATGGATTAAACTACTATTCACTATCAAAGAATTGCAAAAAAAGGGGCACTGTCTGAGTCTTCATAATTGTATGACTCAGCAAATTAACTGTAGGTGTTTGTTTTATGAAAATTTTCCTAAACATTTAAGCTAGCAAAGAGAATTTTAACTTAGCCAGATCAGAGCAGCTACACCTAAAGGTATGTTAGCAGAACAGATGAAGACTTCAACAAAGCCAAACCAAACCAAACCAGAACAAAATAAGGCAACTGACACTGAGTTAAGTTAATATACACTTAACTCCAAAAAGAGCTGCAGCCAAGAGCATGCCTGACCATACCTTACGTCCCTAAGATAATTACTACTGGGAGATCCTTCCTCTTCTCCAGTACTGAAAATGTACTTAGATTTCAAAAGAAACCTGGTGAATGAAGCTTCCCTTTTACTTCTGTCCCAATACAGAAACTGATATCTGGCTATATTCTGAAGGAAGACAGTGACAAATCTGAGCTGAAAATACAACACTTACCTGTCTGATTTTTCCATTTATTAGAAAAATATTTAATTCCATTCTTAATATGTATACAAACATTTTCTTTATGAACTAAAGAAAAGGAGGTATATGACTAATAAAAAGAGACTAACAAACCGGTAGCTGGATCTTTCATGCATATTCCATTGTATTAGTCTACTCAGATACTGTGGTTTTGTCACAGGCAGCATGATGGAGAGCTGCCAGCAAATACAGGTGGCATTAACCGCAGTTAGACTGCTGTTTTGCTGTAGTCATGAATACACGATAGCCAGGTGAATTCTTTTTATTTACAAGCCAAACAACACTCAGTGTTGAATTTTTTTCTCCTAAGCTTCTGTGTGCTATGTTAAAATACCAACAGATGATAAGAAATAAAAAGAGAAACAGTTATGAGAGTAAATTTAGTTGTTTGCGTTTTAAAATTCAATTTAGAAGTCAGACCTTTCAGCATTCCCTCTTCCATCCTCACTTTAAAATACCTTGGATAAAATTTGTAAGGTTTATTTTACTGGAAGTATCAGGAAGTATTAGCAGACATTAAGAATTATTTACAGAGTCACACAACCGCCAATCTTATTTGGCTCTGCACTCATCTTTTAGTACTGAACTTGTGAATCATTTGTTTTACAAAAGACAAGCTATTATTTGGTAGAATAATGTAACAAGCCGCAGTGGAGCTTCTGGTAATGATGCCATCTGACCACAAGTTACTTTTTATTATTACTAATATTAATAGAAGTAATGACCTAGACCAGCATTTCTCATACCTGAGTTGCAACTCTCAATAAAATAACAGGAAGATGCAAAGGGTGGGAGGCATAGAAAGGTAGGGGGAAATTTAATTAAAAAATTAAGCTATATAAAAAATAACAAGAAAAACAATAAAACCAAATTACCCTGATTTAAAGCTGGAAGTAGCTCTTTTCCTCCAGGGGAGTCAGAAGTAGCTATAATTATCAGCTGCACATATTTACACTAGCTAGGGAACTACCAGCTCCCCTCAAATGCTGGCAACAGCTCAGTTCCTCCCAGGCAATATAGAGAGTATTTACACCTGCAGCTGATAATTACAGATGATTTTCATGCCTTTTTCCCCCCAAACACCCTGAGGAACTTTGCTGCTGCCAGCAATTATAGTACAGTAGTAAATTTTTCCTTGGGGATTGCATAAAAGCAGATGAGCTCAAACAATGTTCACATTTGCAAAAAATTTGGGAAACAACTCATCTACCCTTATCCACTATTTCATCAGTGAAGAAAATCTATGTTGGTTAATACAATTAAATATGCCTGAAACTAGGACCATGTTACTTCTCAAGGTTTGTAGAAAACTTTTCCGTCTAGATATAACAGAGTCATACAGTAATTCAGGGCTAGAATTAACACAGATATACAAACACTAACTTCAAACACATACTACAGAAGACTTTGAGTTCTTATTGCTTTAGCTTGTTCTACTTTAGCATTTGATCTAGTAAAACCATACTGGCTCTCTCCTCAAGCCATCACTGTTTCCAAGAAACCATCCAAATCACGAAGGTGGTATAATATAACAACACAGTAGGGACATAGGGTATTCCTGGAAGATTTCCCTACAGGCACATGGGTCACAGTATTACAAAAATCATTAAGCTTCTAAAAATGTGCTCTCCATCCACACTTGGCTTAGATCACTAAAATGGAAAAACATTCTGCGCTGGCCGCTGCCTGATTTACCACGTAGAGTGGCAGATTTTCAGATGGTGCCTTTATGTAGGGGGTAATCCTTGTCATTTGTGAATGATAATATTACTACCTTAATATAATAAAAGTACATGCAGCAGTAAGTGACTTTTGGAAGAGTGGACTGTTTTATGCTGCCTAGTAATGCTTTGTGTCCTATTTTTATGCTATGAATTTACCAAGGTATCACTTTATGTGAATGTAGATTCTTCTTCCTCTCTGCCCACCAGACCACTCATCATGAAGTTATGTTTGTTCCTTAAGACTGACTTTATATTTTTTAATTAAAATATATATTTCTGATGCATTCTTTTAACTGAAAAAAATGAGACATTTCCCAGGGGATCTCTTATCATATAGAGGGCAAAGGTGTATAGCATTGCTGTATGATTTTAGACTTAGTTTTTTGTTTGATTGTTGGGTTTGTGTTTTTTTTCCTGTGAACAGAGAAACACAGTATTAGTCTGACAATTTTCAGTTCTTCTCTGAATTTATATTATATAATGTAAAGCAGACCATTTAAAAGAAATTATCACCCATGTACAGTCTCAGTATGAAAATTCTGAAAGTCTAGTCAAAAGAATAATGGCTGAGTATTTTTATTTTTTAAAACCATTGGTTATTTTCAGGTAATTTAATTTCACAACTTCACCTATTCAACATTTGGAAAGCCTATAGATTTCAAAACACATACATCACATCTTCCTGTTTCTATGTACTTACAACTATATTCAAATAGGAATGTGCATCTGTGCCAGAAATAAAACTCAAACCTCCTTCATAATTTAAGTTTTCTCCGAATTGATTTTTAAATTAAAATTATTTAATTTCACAATTAAAATAGGCTCTTTGTTATTCTTTTTACATTATTACACACTGAATAATTATTGTAGCTTCCAGTGGATAATTGCACAAACATAACTACTGCAAAGTGGACACTGATGTAGCAGGGGCTGTAACCCCACATTCCTCACAAGCAGCCCTGTCCTCCAAGCTGTCATGGGACAGGGAGGCATTCCATAGCTACATTCCCTTAACCACTGCAGGTCTCTCAGCCTCAAGAACCACCCTCTGCCTTCACTGACAGATAGTTGGGGGTGTTTTATAATAGTCATTTTGTCATAAAATCCTACCTGGAGGCAAGGTTTCATTAAACTACCTTCCAGCAGGTACAGTAAGCCTTAAAACTGTCTTGCGAAAGGATAGCTAATGTGTACTTTGTTGAAGCAGCTGTACCTTACAGGTTACAGAGGACAACCAATTAAAATTAAAGGCCTTATAGACAGTAACATGTTTACCTGTGATCATGTGCTAATTAGAATTCTAGTTAACTGAACTAGGAATGTTTGATCAGGACATATAGAAAACATCTGCAAAGTTTGAGATTAATTCTGAGTCATATTTAAGGTCCTTAAAAATTTAGCACTACAGCGATAACGTTTTAATGTTGTACATATGTAATATATACGTCACTACTACTATTGTAATGCGTATGAATGTATAAGTAATTAAATGTCACTAAGTCCATAGAGTTTTACATAGAGTAGTAAGTTGTCATTATTTTGCACTTATTTCTTCATTACATATGACTAAATAAACAAAGACTGGTCACCCATATTGTGCCCACACTCAGGCTAGTTCAGTAATGGGTATTAACAATAGCTTGGGAGAGACATCATTAATGAGCCCTGCAGAACTAAATAAGTATTTGTCATTACTGAATCTACTTTGTGAGAAGGAAAAACAGATCAAAAACAGACTTCAAAATGCAAAGTGAAATCGCATTTGAAGGGGAAAAAAAAATATAAAATGAAAAGAGGAAAAATTAAAATAATGAATGAATCAAAAAATAATTACACCTACACTGCTGGCAGCTACTAGGGATTTACAACTGTGTTTACATTTATTAATAAGGGCTTCCTGAAGAGTGAGAGATTAAGAAAAAAGTGAAATTTAAATGTCATTGACAATTAATTCTTTCCTTTTCCCTTTTCACCCCACCTGACGAAGTTAAATCTCAGAAAGAAGGTCCTACTTATGATCAACTAGCAGATGACAATCTTAATTTACCCAGAGCAGGTAACCAGGCCATCCAGAAGATGAAAATAACTACCGCCCTTCAACCTTGTTACTTCCCAAATGCCCTAGTGAAGGATGCCACAAGCATCTATTTCATCACTTGTGTCAACCAGCCTACACTCCTACACGTACCCCCTCTCACCACCACACAGCCACCTTCTAGAACCCTTTCCCCTTCCCTTAGCAGAGATCCTTCCTCAAGCTTTTCCCACCCTTCTTCCCAGTCACTTTACCCCCATTAGCAGGGAGAGAGGACACCTTAGGACAGAGCCTCCCTCCCCATCCATCAGGTCTGTCCCACAGCCTGCTTGCTGTTCCCAGCTCCTACCAGCTCCTTCCTTCTGTTAGGCCTCCTGAGCAGCCAGGCTGAGCTGGAGATGTTCCCTTCAGTCGCAGTCACCCCTCTCTAGGGAGCAGACACCTTCCCCTTAATACCTTTAGTGTTTCAAGGGCTCGTTGATGGGGAAGGGGAGTACTTTTTTTTGCTGGATCGTTGGGTTTGGGGATGGTTCTCCAAGATCGCTCTAACCCTGTGCCCTCCACGCACCACCTCCACAGGCAGCTCCAGCGGGACGTAAAGGACCTTCCCCACCTCAGCTGGGCCCGTTCGCACCCCGCCTCCCCTGGGGCGGGTGGGGAGCTACTGCCACCCCTCTGCTTGCGCCAGCCTCCCTTCCCACCCTCCACAGCGGGCAGGGACCCCGACACCTGGACAGAACCCTGAAGGGAAGTACCGCCATCCCCGAGCCCCGGACCCCTGAAGGGAAGTACCGCCATCCCCGAGCCCCGGACCCCTGAGGGGAAGTGCCGCCATCCCGGACACCCGGACTCCTCAGCTACGGCTCGGGGCTCCCCCGCCCGCCGGTGTGTCAGCGTCCTGACCAAGCTCCCGCAGCCCCACTCACCTCGGGCCCAGCTCCATGCCGGGGGACAGCGAGCACCGCCGCTGTGCACCTGCTGCTGCTGCCGGCGGAGGGAGAGCGGTCGCTGGGCTGGCGCGGCGGCGACGGCGGTGCAGGGGGGGAGCGGGCGGGATGAGCGCTTGGGAAAGCGAAATTACATCTGAGGGAGCTGAATGCGGCAGCTCAGCGTAAGCCCGAGCTTGGCTGCAAGGAACTTCGCACGCCGGCGGAGTGGCTTCCCGCTAGCGGGGACCCCTCACAGCGACCGCAGCCCTCTGGGAGCTGAGGGAGGGCGGGCGGGAGCGCGGCAGGAGCGGTGGCGCGGCTTGCAGCGAGGAACTCTGTGAGGTGATGCACAGGCAGTCACCGCAACACAATACTCGTTTCTGTGGGGTGGGGTGTCGTATTTTGCTGCACACTGAAGAAACAGAATCACAGAATGGTTTGGGTTGGAAGGGACCCTAAAGCTCACCTAGTTCCGACCCCCTGCCATGGGCAGGGACACCTTCCAGTAGAGCAGGTTGTTCAAAGCCCCATTCAACCTGGCCTTGAACACTGCAAGGAATGGGGGAAACACTGCCAAGGATGGTCCTCTGCCAGCACCCACCAAGTAGAAAACTCACCAATTTTTGCAGAATTTGTCACAAAAGGAGAGGGTATTAAAGGAAGAGTGAGAAATTCAACACAAACAAGACATACTTAAATATCCATATGACTTTGCAAGGCTGAATTAGCTGGATTAGAGACTGAAGGCTCATTAATGCATTTCATATTAAATAAAACTCATCTGGAAAAGAGTGTACTTATTCCTAGGCTACTTTACAAGACATGGCCCTGACTTTGAGCTTCTGAGTAATCCAGCACAGTCCCCACAGTCTTCAGGTATGTACAAGGTCTGAGTTTATGTCACCTCCAAGACAGCCACTCTGGGATAGAGAACCGCAGTGCAACAGGTCCTTGCGAATGTGGAATGAAGTGGTTTGGTCAGGGTGCCCTGGTCTAACTTGGAAACACAGAATTTAAAACAAGAAAAAAGCAATAAAATATTTCCTATGCCAATTCTGAATGTATCATAAAAAGGAATGATCAAATTACTTTATTCGAAGCTACATAAAGATGTCAAGTGATGGTTATTTTCTTGGGTATCTCATTTACATTTGCATCCAGAGTCCCAAAGAGGTGAAATTTAGGTGAGGATCTTTATATTTGTAATTAAACCTGTATTCTTTTTAAAAAAGATCTTTTATTTATTCCTAAATTATAGTAATAATAATATATGTAATAATTTGTTTTTACAATTA